TCAACAGATCTTACATATTTCTCCTTGTGCTCGTTGCAGACCTTTACATAGCGCCACGTGAGAAATCTATGAAAGTTATTTCTTTACTCAGGCAAAAAAAGGTCGCTGGTTAAGTCGCTGATTCGAGTCTAGCCGGATCTAGGGGATTTTTCTTTGTGTTTGTTCGTTGAAACAACCGTCACTTGAAAGGCAAAATGGGATAAGCGACACTTTAGGGTCATGTATACCGTTGGAATCAGAAACGTTAGCTGATTCTAACGGTATGTATAACTCAATATGACTAAAAGTGTCGCTTATCCCATTTTGCCTTTCAACCATCGCAACAAAAACTGTAACTAAGGCAAACTCCTTTGCCTCTACATAACGTAAAATGTTTGTATTTTGGCATTGCATACGACTAGAAGGAGTCGTCTTAGGAATACGATTTCTAAGGTTAATTAACCCAAGTTTCATAGGTCGATTTCGGAGCAGGTCAGATGAGGACACTTGTGTACCTAATAGCACTTACACCTTGCATCACGGAGCAAAGTATTTAACAGTTCAAAACCTTTCGATTGATTATGATTGAGTATACATGAATAAATGTTTTCTTCTAAAATTATAGGATCCCGAACCACAAGTTCCTAAAATGTGCTAGCTCAGTATGATTCAATATTTAGAAATAATGGAACAGCTGTAAAGTCGGTCTTGTTTGAAGACGGAGTAAAGTTACATTTACAGCGTAGCAAGTTTTTATAAAAAAAATTAATAGTCATGTAGTTGTTGCCGACAGTTATATCAATGAATTATGAAAGAAGGTAAAATTTTGACAAAAATTTCGTTCTAATGAGTTTGTATGATTACTAATTGCGTTCTTACATTCTTTATTCTTATTTTGATGGTCGGATATTTGCAATCGAATTCAATTTTATATTCATACATATTTTAATAAGAACAGGCGGATTTTATTATCTATTTTGAATTAACATGAAAAACTTTAAAATATGTCACCTCTTTGTCTTTTTAATAGACAGTTCTAAATGTATACCTGCGTAAGTATGAACTTACAAAAAGTGACAATTGATAGACCGATAAATAGATCGACAGAGATATCGACCGCAATCACTAGCTGATGTCATTTTGCTCCATCATCAAAAAAGACAGACTATAGATAAACAATTTACTACTGGTATCTAATTGTAGCTCACCTGTCCAGCAGTATCACAGATTTCCACGCAGACCGGCCGGTCGTCCACGTCCACTACAACTGCAACAAACAAACAATATGGTTAATTTCATGGTGAAGTATAATGGGCTTATTTTACCCTTGATTACACGAACAAAAAGACATCAACTTCCTTTGTGAAGTGCTAAAACAGCCAATTCAAGTTTTAGTAATATTCTCAAACCTGAATTGGCTGTTTCAATTAGTTAGTGACAAATAATATTTGAATCATACAAGTTAGACGGACACATATTACCTACGCTTAATGCTTCGATGCCTGCACTTATTACAAATAAATAACGTAGTACCCCAAGGCATTACGAAAAGTAAAAATCAATGTATATTTTTTAAATGTCAATTTGAACATCTTGGCAATTGTTGCAAGATAATTTCAAAAGTTACAATCACTTAGGTAACTCAAATTGACTTGTCGAACTTTATTGTGGTACAATAATGTCAGTTACGATATTTTATTGTATTTCAATATTACAGGTTGTTTGCATAAGAGTTCAAATTTATGAAACATATATTTCAAAATAAACAAAAATTCCTTGCGAGGTACCTACTTGTATAGCTAGTTATTCCGGTTTATGCCTAATTAAAATCTACGAAATCTGGAAACTTCTCCACCCACCCAGAACCAAGACGGTGAGCTAATATTTTAGAATTCACTTCCAGGAATACTACTAAAGCTATAGAAAGCTGTGTCATAGAAAAAAAGGCATTTTTTCAATTTCTCCGGACACAACACAAAATGTCTCATACCACACTTCCCCACTAACACTTTTTATACATATAAACAAATATACAAGCATAATGTTTATAGCCGAGTTAACCGTAAAAATACTGACAATATCAATTGGATTTTATTTTATTTTAGTAGCAGATGAGCACCTTGTGAAAGAGTTGGGACTTGGGACTTGCCAACTTACACATATCTCAGGGTGACAGGCGCAGTGACTGTGCCCCTCAGATCTTTGTAATTTAAAGCACTGATACAAACAAGCGTGTCGCTTACCACCAGGCGCACGACTTGTTCGAGTTACTTGCTATTGTGTAAAAAACGATGTACTTAAAGCTTAACCAGACAACTGACACACGTATTTAACGACGTCATGGCTATAACCAGCTTATGCCTTTGTAATATTCATTTTTACCGTTATTATGCGATTTAACGTTCTTAACTCAACTCTAGGTCCTGTTTTATAGGCACTAGATGCCTATTGTTAGTACGGATTTGCTCCGGATGCACAGTGAACACCTAGAATGCACTGGCCTCACGAACATCCTGCCTTTTGTTTTTAAAAGTTGTATAACGAGTGCATTCTATATTCTGACAGGCTGAATGTCCTAATTGTTTAATGCTTTTTATAATAAAAAAAAGTCCAAAATCTTGTAACGGTTTGCGATTTTTCGTTAATTCTTTACATGGTTGCACGAATCCTCAATGTTATAATCTCAGTACAGATTACTAAAAAACCAACCTCAAAAGTACGTCTATTTGCCAAGTTTTATTGAAATATTACCTAGTTCGCCACTATACAGGACTTTGACACTGGAGATAATGAAAATCGGTTCTCACTACTCAAAGTATATTGAGAGAAAAACGCCTTGAATTGGAGAAATTGCAAAATCAACCATTAAAGTTATTGCTCCTAAATTAAAGTTAGGCGCTATTTATAAAAATGTATCTTCATGCATAAACAGCCAACCTTCGAGGTGGATGATTTTTTCAAAATGAAATGGTACCACTATGGAAGTACCCCCTTTCCAACAAAAAAATAATCATGAAAATCGGTTTACAAATACCGGAGTTATCGCGTAACATACATACAAAAATAAACATACAGTCGAATTGAGAACCTCCTCCTTTTTTGAAGTTGGTTAAAAACTAATGAAAATCGACACAGTTGTCACCAAGTTGTGGCAAAAAAGACATGATTCGGCTGTTGAAAATAAAAAGACAAAAACAATCACAGAAATCGAGAGTAAACTTTTTGCTGGTGCGTTGTAAAAAAAGACAAAGACACGATGTGAGTCAGCGTACAGCAAAATTGGACTCTTCACTGTGTAATGAGTGGACAGGAAGTGAAACATTAAAAAGCGAAAAGAATTTAAAGTCACCGTCTGAATACACATGCGTACCTATATATTAAATACGCGGAAAAAAAAACAGCTGTTCCATTACTTTCCGGTCGAATGGGATTAAGTTCAAGGTACATAATATTTACTGTGTTTATGTCACTAACGCTTACAAGAAGATAAAACATCATAAAGTAGAAAAAAGAAACCTATAAACACCAATATACTCACGTATCGACCGACGCGACGTAGCCTGATTTTCGTTAATCTATAATCCACATTATACATGTAGTACTATCATATTTATTACAGTTTCAAACTTTATGCCGTGAGTCATCGCGTGTCGATGGCGGCGCAAGCGCACGAGGCGTGGAGTGCGAAGCGATTCACGTACTACATGACGACGCTGTTGTTCAGAGAGAGTTTAGTCACGTTCTTTTATCTCCTATAAGGCATTTTGCGTGAAATGATTCGCTTTGTTTCGCACTAGATGTAGAATAAAATGATAAACAATGTCGGACAGATTAAATTATGTCAAAACATACGAAAGCAAGAAGCAGTAGAGCTCCACGTGAAAGAGTTCATCCAGGACAGTGCTGCCACCTTACCTATTGCTACCGCCTAGCAGTAATATGAGCATTACTGCTTTCCGGTATCGGAGGGTGAGGGTGCAGGTACATGGGACTTGTCAACTTATATCTTAGCGGGTCGGACGCTGGCTCCCCCTCAGATCATTGTGATTTAAAGCTCTGGGTGGTACTACAACCGTTTATTTTTTTTTATAATATCATAACTGTTATGAACAGGCGTGTCGCTTACCACCAGGCGCATGACTTGTTCGTTCCGTCACTTAGTATTATAAAAAAAAGTAATATCTAGGTTTTGTAGACTTTTTTGTTTATCGTGGTAAAATATATAGGCTGTATGGTAAACGACCAGGCAGACCACAGCGTAGAAGTTAGATGTCAAATAGAGCAAGCCAGGAGAACTTTTGTTCAAATGAGCCACCTCCTTCGCAATCGTAGTCTCAAACTATCAACAAGGTGCCGTTTACTGCGGTGCTACATATTTTTAATTATTTTGTACGGAGTAGAAGCATGGACACTAACTCAGACGTTATGTAAACGGTTAGAAGCCTATGAAATGTGGATTTATCGAAGAATTTTGAAAATATCGTGGACGGATAGAGTTACCAATAACAACGTATTGCGGAGCTTGCACAAAGGCTTGGGATTCCTGAAAACACTAAAAATGAGGAAGCACTTCGGGCACATCATGCGGAGTGATAAATATTATCTACTGCAACTCATTCTGCAGGAAAAAATCCAGCGCCGTGGAAGACGTGGTCATAGAAAAACCACATGGCTTCAAAATCTTGCAGTGGTTCAACATGTGTACCACAGAACTGATCCGAGCCGCAGATTCAGGGACCCAAATAGCTATAATGGTAGCCGAATTCCGGTAGGAGATGGATTCCAAGAAGAAGAAATGCAACAAAAACGCTGAAAAATTTAAAACGTACTATCATTATGAAATCAGGGATCGTGAATGCCATAACAATAAAACGGGACGACTTATTTGAAAATCTCATAGTTGGGCTCTTGAATTCCAGAGATAACGTGAAGATAAATAATAATATTTTACGAACATATAAGAATTATCATACTTAAGAGCACTAAACAAAAGGATAATTCCCTGACAAAAGTAATATTCATGATTCCTGTTTTTTGCGACTATTATCTTTGTAAATAAAATGGAAATAATTTTATTGTGAAAGTATAGTGTTTAAAAAAAGTAAATGGACTTGCTCTTGACCATTACCTTACGCTCTGGAGCAAAGGGAGGATCTACGATGGAACGAGTTCGAAAGTCGCACCTTAAAGATATTTAGGTTGTAAGTGCTCGGAAACAAAGTCGCAAATAGGGAATTCCATCCCTGGGCTGTGCGCATAATAAAAAATTACGAAATACGCTTAGTACGCCCTAAGGGAATATCGACAAATTAAGGATGATATCTGTATAATGCCAGAAAACCACATAAATTAGACGATCTCAATTCTAATTCCTTGTATACTACAAGTATCAGAGTATTGTTAAGACCAGAATATAATAACGAAAGATACGCCTCTCAATTGACTTGACAAACTAAAAAGGTCCTAATACTACATCGGGTCACCGAGAAAATTTGAATTAGAAACAGATATATCTATAAAATTAATGACACGGATGAAACACGCTATAGAAAACCTCAAATTGTCTTTAATTAACCAGAACATTGTACTCTAAGTTAACTGACTTAGAACGTAGGCGCGATATCAAAATAAACAGAGGAAATGTAATTATAAAGTTATTTAAAAATAAATTAATAAACAAACGCGGAAGAGACGGAATTAAAATTTATACGACCACCCATAGTGAGTGAGATTGGGTTGGAATAATGACATTAGATTACGGCGGTTGCGTCAGGCACTCAAGCGGTCGTGACTACGGACACGGTCAGAAACGTGGAGACCAAAATCTATACAAAATGACAACTTAATCGTACATTATATCTACCCTCTCATCTCCACAATATGACCAAGCTTTGTAGTTATATATTCTTCCGATTTATGACTCTACATATTTGTAAGTCAATGCTCTACATAGACTTTTTTTATAATACCAAGTGAAAAGGGACGAACAAGTCATCCGCCCGGTGGTAAGCGCCACGCCTGTCCGTCCATAGCAATTGCAGCAACACTCAGAGCTTTAAGAGACCCCTTTTAGTGTGGGCACTAGCGTCTTGTTACGCTAGTGTGGGGGATTTTTTAATCGCAAAAATCTAAGGGGGCACTGGCACTGCGCTCATCATCCAAGTTGACAAAGATCTCTTTCACCAGCACCATTACCCTTAAAAACTGGAACACATTAATTCTTACATTACTGCTTGGCTGTAGAAATAGGTAAGGTTCTTCCTTGGA